TTACAATGCTTTCCTATGGACACTGGTGTCTTCTCACTGAGAGTTAACCCTAGCTGGACCAGGTACCCAGACCACTTCATTAAGCTGAAGTGGTCTGGGTGCCTAAAGTGGTCCTTTAATTTGTTACTTATATGGAACTGCCAAATTTATGATTAACAAAAAATTAGTTATTAAACTGCTTCCTAATTTGGTATCCATAAATTTGGGCAATTCCACATAAGGATTGCATATTGGGGAATTTTCTACTAAATAGCTTAAATAACAACAAGCTTTAATATTTTGTAGCATGATTGTGTTTGGGGTGTACTTGTGTAGCATAGAAGTGTGTATAAATGTGGGGGTGTATTTGTGTATTGGGCAGTGGATATGATTTTGGGTAAGGTAGCAGTGTGTAAATGCGGGGGTGTATTTGTGTATTGGGCAGTGGCTATGAATTTGGGTAAGGTAGCAGTGTGTAAATGTGGGGGTGTATTTGTGTATTGGGCAGTGGCTATGATTTTGGGTAAGGTAGCAGTGTATAAATGTGGGGGTGTATTTGTGTATTGGGCAGTGGCTATGAATTTGGGTAAGGTAACTGTGTATAAATGTGGGGGTGTATTTGTGTATTGGGCAGTGGCTATGAATTTGGGTAAGGTAGCAGTGTGTAAATGCGGGGGTGTATTTGTGTATTGGGCAGTGGCTATGAATTTGGGTAAGGTAGCAGTGTGTAAATGTGGGGGTGTATTTGTGTATTGGGCAGTGGCTATGAATTTGGGTAAGGTAGCAGTGTGTAAATGCGGGGGTGTATTTGTGTATTGGGCAGTGGATATGATTTTGGGTAAGGTAGCAGTGTGTAAATGTGGGGGTGTATTTGTGTATTGGGCAGTGGATATGAATTTGGGTAAGGTAGCAGTGTGTAAATGTGGGGGTGTATTTGTGTATTGGGCAGTGGCTATGAATTTGGGTAAGGTAGCAGTGTGTAAATGCGGGGGTGTATTTGTGTATTGGGCAGTGGCTATGAATTTGGGTAAGGTAGCAGTGTGTATAAATGTGGGGGTGTATTTGTGTATTGGGCAGTGGCTATGAATTTGGGTAAGGTAGCAGTGTGTATAAATGTGGGGGTGTATTTGTGTATTGGGCAGTGGCTATGAATTTGGGTAAGGTAACTGTGTGTAAATGCGGGGGTGTATTTGTGTATTGGGCAGTGGCTATGAATTTGGGTAAGGTAGCAGTGTGTAAATGCGGGGGTGTATTTGTGTATTGGGCAGTGGATATGATTTTGGGTAAGGTAGCAGTGTGTAAATGCGGGGGTGTATTTGTGTATTGGGCAGTGGATATGATTTTGGGTAAGGTAGCAGTGTGTAAATGCGGGGGTGTATTTGTGTATTGGGCAGTGGATATGATCTTGGGTAAGGTAGCAGTGTGTAAATGTGAGGGTCTATGTACACCCATACAGATTTTATAAAACCTACCCTGTACAGCTGGGTTAAAAAAAAAGGGTAAATACAACTGCTGGTGATTTAGCTAGGCAGAGCATTCATTAGAAAGGGAAACCGTCCCTTCTCTGGAATTTACAACAATGACAAAGCATCAAAATTACCTATGATAGGTGCTAAACGTTTTGTTTTCATGAGCTGTTCAGTTTTCTTTTAAATTTATATTAAAGATTCAGCAAATTGCATCACAATCCATCTCAGACAGGGCACAGCCAGGGCAGACATTGCAAATGAAGAGAAGAAATAGAAACCTTGCTTGTTTAATTTCTCCTCTTCTCTGTACACTTTCCCTATGCCGAATGTCAGATGGAAAGGACAGAGCTTATAACAATGACTGTCAGGGAACCATAGAGGTAAGAATTTCTACATTTAATTTTACTTTTCACACATCCGAAAAATACAGGTTTGTTAAATACAGAGATAAACCTATAGCTTACTAAAAAAATAAAAAATAAAAAGGAGAACTGACAGTGCCCCTTGAAAGCTAGTTTTAGAATTTCAAAAAAATAAGTATATAAAATTACCAGAGCAAATGTCAAGGCTTCAGTGAATCCAGCTGCAGCCAAGTCCTGACGTAGTAACTCTGTCAATTTATTTAAAGGTAACTGAAGAGACAGACAAGATATAAACATTAAAAACACAAACAAGAATATCTCAGCATGATCATAAGCAAGTCAAATAAACAATGTAATTCATCTTAAAATTGGATTTGCGGCACTGAGAACTAATCAGATCTATGACATTGTTTGCTAATTTGTTTCCAAATTTAAATAATTAAATCTACATTTGTTTGAAAAGGGTTTTATTGCATATATAAAATAATGCACAAATCTATTGGCCATCGCTATCCTACAGATAACCATTTTAGAGCATTAAAGTATTCTAAGCAACAAAAACACCACCTTAATTTTAGTGCATTAACCCTGCCCCTGCAGTCTGAGAATGTGAGCATTGCCGTTTGTAAGAAATGGCAATGTTTACATTTGTCATTCAGTACGCCTTTAGTAGCTGTCAATTAAACAACCATTAAGGGGACTTCCTAGTAAAGACTTTCAATATAAGTGAACTTTCCGAACACCGGAAAGAAACTGAAACATCTCAGCCAATCCTGGCCATTAGTGGGAATATGATAGCTAGTGGTGACTTGTACAGTATGCACACGCTAAACAAATACTACAATGAGCAAACTAAAACCTGTTGTAATTTGGTTAAAAAGCAGAGAGACCGTGAATCTCTGTTCTACAGCCTACTCAAGACACTTAGGCTGTTATGGTGCTTGGAGTGTTCCTGAAACAAAAAATATAATGTGCAATTTGAAGAGCAATAAAAAAAAAAAAAACCCTAACACAAACATGCAAAATAAAATATTAACATGTATCCTAACCACTGCCAAACAGTTTAGAAACACAGAGCAAATCAATAACAGTCTGGCCCCCTGCAAGTGGAGAAGTGAAGCGGCCATCATTTTTTATTATTATTATTTTATCATAATCAGAAGCAGGAGGCCCTCTGGAGCCAACATTGCAGATTGCTTCCTGGAGTTTATTTCGTATGCATGGAATCCGTATAACCTCCAGCTCAACACTGAATGTTGACAGCTGCAATATGGATATTGATGGAGCCCTCTGGTTATTCTCAAAACATTTTTGCAGCAGGTGATCAGTTTTGGGTTGCAGGTCTGGTTGTGGATTGTTATTTATTTGGACCCAAGGAAAAAATAAAAATACTAAATTTCAGAGACTGTGGCTCAGCAACAGATGGAAGGCCACAGGTTGTCTATCCCAGAGCTACACAAAAGACCCAGGTCAGAGTTGATGTGAAAAAAAAAAAAAACCACTAAAAGGCACTAAAAATCAGGGATATTTTCATTCAGAAGTTGAAATTTATATATAGTCTGTCTTCATTCAAGCTTTTAATAATTACAACTATGTCCTTGGTTTAATCAGTTTTTTTGCAGTAGTGTATCATGTTAAGTAATGTCCAAAGAGACAGTTACCTGATTAGCTATGGTGTAAGTTTTCGGTATGACCATCTCAATGTTATTGAAACCGTAGGCAACAGCGGCATCCTCTACAATGTCACAGGCATGGATGATATCTGCTCGTGTTGGCGGGATTTCAACCTCTATTTGCTTCCCGTCTTCCAGCACTTCTGATTTCAGGCACATTCGGGTGAGCAACTTCGCCAGGTTTGCTGGTGTCTCACTGATTCCCGGGAGAGAGTAACATAAAAAGTAAACAAACAATGTCTGTGTGAATATTGAAAGCAATTCTTAATTTGATTCCTTAAGTTCTGACTAACTCGTTTTTAAGACTTTATGGAAAATTTAAAAGCACTTATAATAAGTATATTGGTTTATATTTTGCATTAGAAACAAAAAACTGAAAACTACAGAGAAATCTTTTCCAGCTTTATGGACAAAGAAAATATACACCATCTTTTGTACCAGCGATCAGCTAAATATTGTGAGAATTTTTTGTCAATAAATTTTTATGGAAATTTTCTTTTTTGTTGCATCAGTGCATGGTTGGGTAGAGAAATAAAGGAAGGACATGGTTCATATAAAATTTGCGACGAGATAACTTATGTCCACGGAGAAGAACAGGTCAACAGTGAAACAACCAAACTGACATTTTTACATGATGGTGCAATAATGTAGGGCCATCAGCGACATACCTTATGAGCACAAAAGTGCGACACTGAGAAAGGTCCAGTCTGGCTGTCTTCTAAGTGTAACCCTAACCAAGGTGGCAGTGGGGTGGTTGGGAAGGGAGGGCGGAGGGGAAGGGAGGGCGGAGGGGGTGTTGGTGAGGTAGTAAACCCCATAGAGTTTGGGTGAGTACCCATTTATCTGAAAGCCGGAGCATGTATGGGCGATTAGGCTCCAGTTTAGTAGCTGAACTAGACTGAACACATGTATTGTATCTGGCCAAACAGTAGTCAAAATTGTAGATAGTAAAACTGAATAAAGGAAGTATTTAAACTAAACATAAAAGTTCGAACCACAACTTAGCAACAGCATCCTTTGTGTATTTAAGTCCCTGGTAATGAGGTCGGGATTACTGCAAAAGTGAAGGAGACAGCTCGCGTTGGGTCCCGTGCTCGAGTGCTGGTTCGTTGTGCAGGGTCGTTCCTCGGACCAGTCAAGCCCAGGTTTAATAGAAAATGTGGTGCTTTGGAAGGCGTAGATATTTTATGTACAGTCCGTTCGTGTGACACCACTAGGAAGCTGGGTGATCTCCAATGATATTCCACGCCTGCTGATCTAAGCTGGCTGGTAACAGGATTCAGGGATCTTCTCCACGCAAAATGGACCTTGTGAGATCTTGGTAGAAGGAGAGTTTAGAGCAGTGATGGCGAACCTTTTTGAGCCAGAGTGCCCAAACCGTAATACATGCCAATTTTTTTCCCTCAAAGTGCCAAAACGGCATTTAAACCTGAATACTGAGGTTTAAGTTTAGAAAAAACAACTCATACAGTTGTCCGAACTAATTAACATCTCTGTGTGTGTATTAAGCAGTTTGTGTGTGTGCTCGGCAGTCTGTCTGTATGTGTATTTAGCAGTCTGTCTGTGTACTTAGCAGTCTGTCTGTATTTAGCAGACTGCTGAGTACACAGTCTGCTAAATACACACACAGACAGACTGCTACACACACACACAGACTGCTACACACACACACACACACAGACAGACTGCTGAGAGTACACACAAAGACAGACTGCTGAGTGTACACACACAGACAGACTGCTGAGTGTACACACACAGACAGACTGCTGAGTGTACACACAGACAGACTGCTGAGTGTACACACACAGACAGACTGCTGAGTGTACACACACAGACAGACTGCTGAGTGTACACACACTGCATTGAGGGGTACAGTGTATGTGTTTGTGTGTGGAGTGATGTGTGTGTGTGTGTGGGGGGTGATGTGTGTGGGGGGGTGGTGTGTGTGAGTGGGGTGATGTGTGTGTGTGTCTTTTTGTGGGGTGATATGTGTAGGGCAGGGGTGCTGTGTGTATGTCGTCCCCCCTCTCCCCCCCCTGTTTTCTTTCCCCCCATCCCTCCCTCATTTTTTTTCTCCCATCCCACACTCAGTTTTC